GATGACAGATTTTTAAGGCATCAAAACTGTTTAGTTTCCTAAACTGAATGCTGCTGTCGTGGTTTGCTATATATCTTTACAGACTATAAGTGTTTTCCCACATGTTATTAATTAAACATTAAATTTTAAAGCTTTTTATTAGTATTAGTATATATTAATTAGTATTAGTACATATTTATCATATATATAATGGGTTCCCTTATCACAATTTTTTTTAAGCTCTGTGCGTATCTGTGGAGATGCATATGTAACTCACATGTGCATGTTTGTGTATGAGTGCAGTTATGTTCATGCCAAGACACGCATGTCGGTCTTTACCTTCTACTTTGAAGGCTGGCTAACCTGTGAACTCCCAGGAGGCACCCTCCTTTCTAAAGTTTCCTTGTTGTAGTAGGTGTTCTGGCATTACAGACATCCGCCACCGAGCCCGGCTTTAAGTGGATTCTGCAGACTTGAACTCAGATCCTCACGTCTGTGTGGCAGGCAGGTGCTTTGACTCACTGGGCCATCCCTTGGGCCCTCATTACATGAAAATAACGTGTTTTGACTGGTGCTACAGTGGCATGTGTGTTGTGTGGTTATCACCCACTTTCTTATTAGCTTTACACATTAGTTTTTAAAGACACATATTTACCTATAAATTATTTGCTTTCGCAAACTATTCAATCTTGGGAATATAAGAAAAATACATTCAGTAAACTTACTAGAACGCACAACTTGCATGGTTTTCATTTAAAATTCCATTTCATGGGAGCAGTATATTTATCACACAGGTGAGCGACCTAATCACAATTACTGACTTCATCTACAGCCAGTACTAGTTTATATTAAATTCATACTCAAGGACCATTTCTCAAATTTCACAGATATTTGAAATCTTCAGGGGCATCTCATAAATTATTAATAATAAGTGCCTCATATTAATAAAGGATAAAGGACAAGATGAGCACATGGGAGACAGCTCAGTGAGACAGATACCCTACACTGGGTGGATGGGTGTCTGCCCACTCGGAGGCAGCAGGTTTCACAAGGCCACCCATTTACCTCTTGGACCGTTGGCCACAACAAGGCTAGGGAGATGGCTCAGCCAGTGAGGGCACCTGGCACTAAGTCAGGAGACCTGAGTTTAGTCCTGGAACCCACACTGTGGTGGAAGGGAAGAAACTACTCCTGCAGGTTGCTCTCCAACCTCCATACAAGCATGTGTCCACACATACATAGTAAGTCAATGTAAAAACTAAACAAAATGAAAAGCCACAGCACAAGAACAAACAAACAAGGTAAAGGCATCTGTAAGATCAGTTACCTAGAAGCACAGAGAGAAGTTTGCAGATACATCATAACATTTTAATTTATGGACAGGTAAAACTAGACCAACTCCTGCTCTCTGGACAGAAAAAAAAATGAAATATTGAAAGAGTACTTCAGCAAAGCAGCATTTATTAAGACGGGTGCTACACAAGGATTGGCCCCAGTTTGTGTCTAACTCCACATTCTCCAAGCTCTGCTGACTGAAGGGACATGCTGGCTTTGGTTCCTCTGAGCTAAAGCCTTCCTGACCACAGCAGCGACGCTAAACAAGAGGCCTGGGTCCTTCAAGGCAACTGCCCCTCTGTGGTAACTGGTCCTGATGTGATTCCTGGGATCAGCAGGGCTCTTACTTCCCTGCTGTGGGTCCCAGGGGTGAACCCTAAGACTCCGCCTTGCTGAGACTTGGGTACATCACCATCAAACCAGGGTATATGTTTACCTGATATAAATTGTTCTTGCTGACAAGCACCCCGGCTCAATCCTGAAATCGGCTGGAAACCAACAACATATACTTCTCGTACAGATGCCATTTGCACATGTATGACTAGTGTGTATCTAGGCATGAAATACATTATCTACATCCTAAATGAGGTACACCAATGGCTATAATGGAAGAATTGAGGGGTGAAGGGAAGTGGAAAGTGATGGTAACAGGGGTCTCTCAGGCATTCACCACATGACAACCATCCTCAGTATAGAGTCTTCAAACCCCAACAACGAATTATCACATGCCTATGAGACGCCAGGCAGTTATCTTACTTATAAACTGATGGGAGATGTCATTCTGTAAATATGTTTCTCATACTGGTTAATGAATAAAGCACGGTTGGCCAATAGGAAAGCAAGACAGGCAGGACTAGGAGACAAGGAGGAGAGCGGAAGGAGTAAGGAGGAGTCAAGATGGAGAGTCTAGAAAGAGCAGGACGCCGCCAGCCAGCTCTCTGGTAAGATGAGACCACGTGGAAATACATAAATGAACAGAAATGGGTTAATGCTTAAGACAGAGCTAGCCGATAAGAAACAAGTAACTGGCCAACAGTATTATATCAAATACAGAGTCTCAGTGTGTTAATTGGGGCTGGCGCAGCAGCGGGACAAGACCAGCAGAGGGAGGAAAACCTACTCCTTACAATAAACATTTTTTTGTTGTTGTTGAATTTTAATGTATTCTTGCAGCAGCTACTTGACTATGAAGAAACATCTTGATCTAAAGTCTTCAGAAAGGCATCTAAAGGTATTTTGCAAGAAACACTCAACCTTATTTTCGTTTGTTTAGTAGTCATGGATTATATATATATATACTAAAACAGGTCGGGTTTGCCTCAAAGGAGATGAGTCGTAAGATCTGAGCCAAGTTATTCTGCAGAACCCAAACACCTGGCTGCCACAAATGATGACTTTAATGTCTTTCAAACCAGGACTGGATCCTGACCAAGACAAGATGCTTTACCCATTCAGGAAAATTGGCTGGTTTTCATAAAGGATCAAAAGTTTAACCTTAGCATAAAAGGCTGTTAATAACTGTAACAACAACAACAACCAGAAACCTAACTGCAAGTTAGGTCTAGAAAAAAAAAAAATGTATTGTTTTTTGTTTGTTTCCAAAACCTTTCGTTTGCATTTGTGTGAGGCCCCTACTCACTTGGGCAGGATTTAAAAACCAAAAACAAACAAACAAAAAAGAGGGGCATTTGTAGCCAGGCTCCCTTCTAACTTGCTATGTAGCTAAAGATGATGACCTTGAGCTCCAGATCCTTTGGCTTCCCCTCCCAAGCTGAGGAATCGCAGCCTTTCAAAGCCTGGCTTTATGTTGTGTCAGAGATGGAACCCAAGGCTTCCTTCTTGCCAGGTCACACGTGATGCTTTTCAGGCATCAAGCTCTAGGCTTTGTCAGCTTTACAACTAGCGGTTGCTATGAAGCGCAGGACAGTACCAATCTCCATCTCCAGAGAGTTCAGGCCGGGCCTGAATCAGTCCTACCAGCCTGCAGCAGTGAATAGCTCCGTCCCCAACTTTCCGGCCAAAGCACCGTTGCTCAAGTATGTATGAGGGGGGGAAGAGTGGGAAGCAACGCCAAGAGTCTTACCCATGAGCTGAAGACTTTGCACACCTTGGCATGTACAGGGAACTGAAATCCAGAATCCACGGCACAACTCCACAGCTAAAGCCTCCACGGGAGCAACAATTGCTCAGAGCACAGAACCATGGGTCTGGGAGTGAAGCATGGGCTTGCACTCTTATTTTATTTTTGTTGGTGAACAAGCATTTGCCCTTTTTCTGTTAAGTGTCAGGTCTTGTGATAGATGCCTCCCATGAAAATGTTATGAGAATCCACATACCCTTTGTAAAATTAGGCCTACTTGGTGAGCAGGGGAGATAAGACAAGGCCCCGTGTAACCTAGGCTGGCCTCAAACATGATACATAGTCATGGATGGCTGATGATGGTCTTGAACTCCCTGTCTTTCTACCCCTATCTTCTGAATGCAGGTACCACCACACCCCAGCAATTAGTTTTGATCAGGAAAATGACATCCATCCGATGGCCACTGTTAAAAGGGACAAGAGTGGGATTTAAACCCACAACTCCTCGCCCTCATCATGGCCGTGGGATGTGAGCAACCAGGTTCCTGGGGATTCTGGTCAAGCACTGCCTTTCATTTTACACCGAAGTGGAAGTTGCTTGGTTAGCAGAAATGAAAGGAAAAAGAAAAGGAAGCAGATGTCCAAGCATCTCTTCCTTTCTGACCCTCTGGAGCTGTGAGCCCTCAGCTTTGCTGACCAAGTAAGGATCATGACCACCAGCAGGGGAGTGCAGCTGGCCAGCCAGTCTGCCCACAGTCCGCAGTCCTCAGCAGGCAGGCACACCAGCTCACAGGGCACCCCTTCTCCCTATCTTCCCTGGCCACCACCTTACCCAGTGTTGCCTGCCTGCCTGCCTGCCCGCCCGCCAGCCCTCCTGGCCCTGCTCAAGACTACAGCCCCCAACTGAGATGCACAGGGCGAAACTCCACTTCAGAGTCCAGTTGTAGCTAGCCCCAGAGCAGCGACCTCTGACATTCAACCAGCAACCCTTTGACAGAGGCAAAACCAGGAGGCAACGGGACAGACAGCCTCACAAAGCACAGGAAGTCAGGCGGGAGGCGATGAAAAGTCCGTGTGGGGTGCAACTCCCTAACCTGGTGCACCCGTGGTAAAGACCGTGGGGCCAGAGATCAAACACAGGCCTCCTCTTTCCTCTTCAACAACACTCCCCTGCCTGCTCTCCCAGTCTCTCAATTCAGACCTGACACCGACCTCAATACCAACCCCTAATTCACAGAGCTCGGGAAACTTCAATCCCAGCACGCACCCCTACCGGTCCACCCCAAGGGTGGAGGCGCACCAGCACAGTCCTTCCTGATCCTCTGGGCCCCCCTCCTCGTCCCCCACCCCAGAAACACAAGTTCAAGGGCTAGGTCTGTCGGATTTGCCTCTGCCTTACACTGACACACCCCCAGATCACAGTGTACACAGTGACCCCGCGCGGGTGAACACCCCAGCTTCCCCCAGCCTGCACGCCGGCCCCCGGCGGCGCACCTGGCCCAGTCATGCGGGCACCCGCCCGCCCCAGCCCGGCTGCACCTGCGCGGGCGCTCGCCGGGGCCGCTCGCGCACCCGCGGTTTCCCCAGGCCGCCCCTCGCCTCTCACCAGCGCAGCGCAGCCGTCCCGCGCCGCCCGCGGCCTGGGGCCCCGCCGCCCGCTCCGGCCGCGGCTCCTGGGCTGCCCGCCCCGCCGCCGCCGCTTCCCGTCACGTGGGCCGCCGCCCGGCGCCGGCGAAGGGAGGGCGGGCGCTCGCTCTCCGGTGCCCAGGCCGCCGTGCGCCGCTGGGGGGCTCCGCGTCCGGGCCCGGTGCTCGGGACGGAGGGCGAGGGCGACCCCGGCCGCCGTCCCCGGAGGGCAGAGTCCCGGCCGGCCGGCCTCCGGGAAGCGCAGCCTCGTCTCCTCCGCTTTCCACTCCATGGCTGCATACTACACAGCAGCAGCAGCGCTGGGCAGGTGGAGCCGCGGAGAAATGCCTCCGACACAGAGACGGACGGACAGCAGGGCCCGACTGCGAGCGGGGACGTCTCCCGGGCCGCAGATCGCCAACGCAGGGCATGGCCTGTCGGTTCCCAGGCCCACTGCTAGTCCAGGAGAAGGCATGCAAGTCCCCGAGGGGAGGAGCGTCTTTGCGGGCCGCTCCTTCCTAGCCGGGAGTCCCGGGACGAATCCACCCACTTACTCTGGGGCAGTCCATCAGTGCCACCCACTCCTTTGTGTCAAGCCCTGGTGAAGAGTCCCAGAACCCTTCTTCGGCATAGAACCAAATCTAGAACGCTCCTTCCAGAGTCATCGGTGCTATCAACACCAAACAAACAACCAGATGGGTTTCTCCAATTATTTCCCCTGATTGGAGAAATCGCTATGGAGGTGGCTTAAGGTCTCCCTTACCCACGACCCTGTCCCCAGATTCTATAGGAAAGACGCCACCCCGAGCCCCAAAAGTGGGTAACATACTATTCTGTAGTCTTGTTTCAAAGGAGGAAGGCCCGTGGGGGTGAGGCCTAGAAAGACTAGCCTCTGAGGGGACCCCCTAAGTGACTCATTATAGACACTCAGTTGAGTGCTGTCCATTTCCCCATTTCAGTGAGGCAAAGAGAGGTAAGGATCAGAGAAAGAACTCAGACTTCAATAACAAGTTGTGCTTGTAACAACAACAACAACAAAAAAGTCCTATTGATTACTTTTTGTAACCACCTTTACATTGATGATGCATTTATCAAAGAGGGAAATCAGAAATAAATGCTTTCTTTAGAAGGCTTACCACAGGTTTTTTGGGTTTGTTTGTTTGGTTGGTTGGTTTGGGTTGGGTTTTTGTTGTTGTTGTTGTTGTTTGTTTGTTTGTTTGTTTTATGGCAAGCTTTATTATTGGCACGTCTGGTCTTGGGCATACTAATTCCTCTACATCACAAATGGCAGCTACCTTTAGGTAGTGCCTGGACTAGGAAACAATATCTTCATAAGCTAATTAAAGTCTTCTGGTTATTTCTGTTGGGTTCCTTTACAAACAAATATAGTGTCATGGTTTTCAAATGAATGTTTTAAAAATCACTCTTATGTGAACGAGTGTTTTGCTTGCATGTATGTGTATCACATGAGTACAGGAGCAAGCACACAGAGCCAAGGAGAAGGCATCAGATCTGGACCTGGAGTTATAGATGGCTGTGAGCCAGATGGATGCTGGGAACCAAACTCAGGTCCTCTCTAGGAGCAGCAGGCACTTTTATCTGCTGAGTCATCCCTGTCCCCTCAAATGAAACCCTGGGCCCATATCAAGCACTACAATTACATTTTATAGGATGTGAAAAGTGTTCTGACAGAAGACAAGGGAAATGACGAATTTCATAAATAAACTGCATGTTTCGACAGTTGCCGATGCACTTCCAAAATTCAGTATCCTCTGCTTTGTGTGATGTAACCCAATTCTATCAAGCTCTCTGTTCCTCTTGCATACAGGAAGCACTCATTCAGCAAGTTTTTTTTTTTAATGGATGATTTAATGCTTGTCATTAGTGCACTAATGTATCTTTAAAAGGCACTTACTAGTGATGCTGGGTGAAAGTGGGGGCCTGTTCATGTTGAAGATGCTCTTTACCCAGAGAGTTTTAATGCTAATATTCTCTTATTCCAACTTATACACATTCTTAAGAATGTATCTAACATGGTTGATGATTAGCTAACATCTGACATATTTGGACATCACTTTTAAAGACCATATTAGATAAAGTTACATTTATGATTTTATAAGTAAACATACCTTATAACAGGCTGTTTTGAGAGCTTTTTATTATATAATATTAGTGCATTTAATGACACATATACATACTCATATACTTGTACTTTAGCTCTAGCAAAATAAAACTTTCAGTTATTACTCAATCAACTACTTCCTGGGCAGCTCCTTCATGAAAACTGCTAGGCCAGAGGCTACGTCAGACTCTGTCTCTGGGAACTTACTGTTCTGAAAAAACGACTACATTAGGGCTGTACTGTACAGGAAAAACCTACCCAATCAAATCATAAAGTGAAAAGCAATGTGCTTGGTGACAATGGAGCTCAGGTAGGAAGTGCCTAAGAACCATCCGGCACAAACTTAATAGTTGCTGTGTGGCAGGCACTGGGCCTGGGGCAGAAGACCCGAAGATATAAAGAGGTAACCTGTGAAAAAAAGTGCCTTGACTGAGATGTCTGTGTGTCCCCAAATACCTGCAGACAGTATAACAGTAGTAAGAGGCAAAACCATTAGGATAAAGCACGAGTGGGATTCTCAAAGAAGTGGGACCCTTTACCCTCCTACCACGTGCCATATGAGAACACAACAAGATATCATGATCTCACCAGATGCCAACTTCTCCAGAACCTTGGATCACCCAGACTCCACAACTGTGAGAAACATGTCTCTGGTGTCTGGAAGCCACCCAGTACTCATCAGTGTGCCCGTACACACTAAGACACTCAGGAATGAGAAACAGTAATATTACCACTAGTAGTGTTATAAATACTAATAGCTAAAACCACAAGTCCAGAATGTGAAGTACTTCATTAACTGTTACCTTCATTTTGAAGCTCCTTACCTTAAGTGCAGATGTATTTTTGACAAATAGCACATGTTTGTATGGGCTAGGAAGACAACTCAGCAGTTAAAAAACACTAGCCATTCTTGCAGAGGATCCAGGTTCCATTCCCAGAATCCACACAGCAGATTACAACCATCTGTGACTCCAGTTTCAGGAAATCCAGTGCCCTATTCTGACCTTCGTGGGTACCAGGTACAAACTAAGTACACAAACATAAATGCAGACAAAAAAATCCCATAGACCAAATAAATAAATAAACAAACATTTATAACACAGTATCTTAAGTATTACTTTATCTACAAACAGAATCAATGCCCACAGTTCTTAGAGAATATTTTTCTCCTGAGTTAATCACCCTACAGACATTTTTACTTGTTATTTTTGTTTTGAGACAAGGTTACACTTTGTAACCCACACTTGCCTCACTCTTAGGCCCCTTAAGTGCTGGGATAAAAGGCATGTGTCATCATCTCTGCCTCCAAAAACCTACTGAGAGCCAACAAACTACAACATGATGCATACTAGTGAACCTGGTGAGGGAGTGAATGTAAACACAGGGAACTTGCAGCATTCACCTCATCTAGTGAGGTGACATGAGACCCATTGTTAGTTGGTTCCCCTCAGCCTTTTCTCTTGTTCTATAGAATTACCAAGTCAGAATGTTAACGAATAAACCTTATTTCTGTTTGAAGGCCCCCCGCCATGCCGTAGTGACAGTATTCTCACCAGCATGGTAGATTTTCCTCTGGTCTGTGTCTAGATTGGAAAGATTATACATGTGAGGTATTCTTTTTCCACTCTGGTTAATTGGTTTTCAGTCTTTTGGTTCCTGGCTCTTGACTGGGAGCTTGGTTTTGATTAGCTTTGTCATGTAGTGTGGTTGAAATCTTGAAGCAGCCCTCTGCCTGGACATATCTGAAGTATGATCCCAAAGGGTTTATTGTTTTCTTTTAACTCCCCCCCCCCACGACACACACAGACACAAAATTCCCATTCTGGGGCTTTTTCACTAGCCTAAGATAAACTCTGATGAAAACTGTTGGTAAAGTATGGAGTCCCCAGAGTTCCACTCTATAGAGGCTCTGCCTGGGAAGGAATCTATAGACATTGTCAACAAAAACCTCTTTCCCTTGGGGATGGAAGGATGGATACAAAACTCATTATAGTCCTTTCTCTCTTAATCTTTTTCTTTTGCCTCAAACTACAGTTCCTTCCACCCCGTGGTTTCTGCTTTAGCTACATGTACAATAGTTCTAGTGGATTTATTTTAAGCCAGGAAGTGCTTAGGGTACTGGGAGGGGTTAAAAAGAAAAGACAACAGATCTTACCTGTAACGATTATTTTGTTTTTTGTTTTTTTGGCTTTTTTTGCAGATGAAAAGTCTGAAGCTTCAGCTTAAGGAGTAGAGCAAGCGCATGGGAACACATTTCCAGACTATTACGCTGCTTGCTGCTTCATACAACTTCTTGCTACATCTCCCTGGTGATGTCAGTCAACAGGTACAACCGGTGGAAGAAACCGGAGAGGCGTTTGACATACTTTTTAGGCGTGATCCTTACAACATTGGGAGGCAGTTACAATTTCTATCTCGGAGATGTGAAGCTATAAGGGGAGTGAAAGTGGGAATGGGGTTATAAGCCAAGGCTGGGCCACTCCAAGACTGGGCCCCTTCCCCCTTCTTTGCAGCCTATGACCAATAACTTCCTATTGTCAGTCGGTGCCTCGCAAGTACATGTACCGCTTGTATTACCCCTATTTTCATCATCGGATGCTTCCTGAAGAAGGAACTGAGCCCAAGAGACCAAATCACCCAGCGACCATGCAGCATCGAAAACTGGGTTTGGTTTCAAGTACATGTTCCCCGAGAAACAGCTACTTTAGCCACTAAGATGACTCCCAGTGAAGGAAATGGAGTGCTGGTCTCACTTTTACATGGCAATGGAAACGTTAATTTGAATATAGAATAGCTCGGTAATATTACAAAGCTAAGGCACTTAATTCCAGCTTTAGGCGCAGCTTTAGGAACGCCCATTTAAGGGTAGGTCACTAGATCTCTTTTAGGTCTGCTTCCGGGACGTGAAAATAAAAGCACTGGGTTGGATATTGCTTTAGGAACCCACTTTAAGTTTCCCTCCCAGCTCCGAAATTGTTTCTACCACCCCCAACAGAAAGATTTGCAAGCTGTCTCTCAGCTTTATCTCATTCCTCATTTAACACCTCACTCTTACTCCCACAGTACCCTTTTATCTCTTTGCAGCCTCCAGTTCCCGTTTTTTCCCCATAGACAATGCAACGTTTTCCAATTAAAACAACAACAACGATATACTGTAAAACATAAAAAAACGTGCGCTCAAAACACGTAGGAAGCTCGACTTTTTAAACGTGCAAAGTTCTCTTTCCCGTGAATGACGAGAGCGAACAGATTCCCCTCACAACTCTCTCGGACCACAGTAGTTGATGCCTAGGACGTTTGTTTTGTTTAAAGCAAGAACTGTTACTCGGGTGTGCTTATTAGGAAGCGCAGAGGCAATGCACTTGATCCTTGGCTACTGTGAAGTCTGTGACCTCCAGTTACCCGGGCTGTCCTTTCTGGGGGGGGGGGGGTAAACTTATTTTTCAGGTGGGGGTTGGCTGGTCGGTGTAAAGTACGGTTACGGTTTCAGGGAGCGGCGGCGATACTCGATGCTCGCTGTGCTGTGTCCCAGGTGCGGGAGCCACAGCGGGCTTACTTCTTGCAGAAGGGAGAGCGGGCAGTAAACGGACTGAGACATCGCCGAGCCTCTGCCGAGCGCTCCGGAGAATCCCCGCGGCCTCTGCCGTGCGACGTCACAGGAGGCGCGACCAATGGCGGCCCGCTCGGGTGGCCTCGCCTCCCGCGCTTCCGGCGCAGCCACGCCCCGCCCGGCCACGCCCCGCCCGGCCACGCCCCGAGCTTGGCATCCCAGCGGGTCCTGTAGACCCAGGTGCGTCTGGACCCCACCCTGCGCCAGCCACACCCTGCACCCTGCACCCTGCACCCTGCACCCTGCGCCCCGCGCGCGCGGGCGCCGAGCCCCACGGGAGTCCCGCCCCCTCCCCGCGCGCGTCACTTCCGCCGCGGTGCCTTGTGGGTAGCCGGCCGGGGTCTCCTGGCGACGACCATGGCGGGGGATGTGGGCGTTCGCAGCTGCACGGACTCGGAGCTGCTGCTGCACCCTGAGCTGCTGTCCCAGGAGTTCCTCCTCCTCACCCTGGAGCAGGTGGGGCGCTCGGGCCCGACTGAGGACGGACGGGCAGCCGGGAGGACGGGCAGGCCTGCGGGAGGCTCGCGGCCGCTCCCCGCCCACACAGGTCCGCTGGGGCTCGCCCGCCTCGCTCGCTCGCTCGCTCGCACCCCCGAAAGGAAAACCTCCAGAGAGTGTCTGGAGCCCCCCGGGAACCCTCGGGTAGCCCGGAGAGGGCGTCCAGGACCACCTCCGCCGCCTCCGTGCGAGCAACGAAGGACGCACAGGGAGGGGAGAGTCTGGTGCAGCCAGGGCTGCAGCCAGGGCATCTGGGAAAGTCTGTTACTCAGCTCTTCGCCTCCCTCAGAGACCGAACCCCCCTAAACCGACCGACCCCCAGGGAGATGGGCTTACTCCCTGCGATCGTTGTCTGGGCGTAGTCACCGTTGGGAAAACTGAAGGCACCTGGCTCTCTGGGTGGTGTGCTTGCGTGTGTGTGTGTGTGTGTGTGTGTGTGTGTGTGTTTGCGTGTGTGTGTGTGTGTGTGTGTGTGTTTGCGTGTGTGTGTGTTTGCGTGTGTGTGTGTGTGTGTGTGTGTGTTTGCGTGTGTGTGTGTGTTTAAGCTGGTGGGACCTAAGAAAATAGGCAAACCAAAGAAAAGAACGCCACCAGTTTTATTCAGATTGCTCAAAGTCTCTCAAGGGTTCTCGTGTGGCCCGTTTTGTTTTCCATGTTACCTCCCTTCCCCTAACTACAGTACCTTTCTCTTAATTATTAACTGAAGTTCTCCATACGGTTATTTTAAAGATGGCCTTTATTTAACCTGTGGTTCTCAGGCTTTTAAGCACACCAGGACTATTGAGGTCTTACAGAAACGAATCAGTTTCCATCGGTCAGTTTCTCATTAAGTAGGTTCCCTGTATGCCCTGTAACTGCGTTTTTTGTTTGTTTGTTTGTTTGTTTGTTTGTTTTGTTTTTTACGAGTTCTTGCTGTTGTCCCGAGGACGAAACTTCTGAGCACTGCTGCTAAGAAAGCCAGCTCTTCGGTGCCTTCTAAATAGATGGCGTCCTCTGGGAATGTTGTCCAAGAGCGTCAGGGTACTCCCACCCCTGAGTGAATTCAAGATGAAAGTCGGCAATATACAGTAATGAAAGAGGAATACGATGGTTTAATATTAAAAAAAGAAAAATTAGTCAAACTGGTCAGGTGGCATTGATTTTTCAGTATCTATACAAAGCATACATTTCTCCAGTTTTCCCTGTGCGTTGTGCATTGTTGTACTAACTGATGTTGAGAGGGAAGTGGGCAGGGAGAGAGATTCGTTACTTAGGCATGGGTGGTTGGACAATGAGGTGAATGGTGAAAATGTGAGGGGGTGTGGTGTAGCATTAATGTCATCAGAACGGGGAGTTCAGTTCCCTTCTGCAGTAGTAGTTTAAGCTCATTTAAAAAAGCTATGCAAGATCTCTCCCTCTGGGGTGGGGTGGGGTGTCTCCATGGTAAAGCCAGTGCTTGGCATACTTAAGGAACTGGGTTCAGTCCCCCCACCAACCAAAAGAACAAACAAAAACAAAAAAGTACCCGCCCACCAGATTAAAGAAACATGAGAAATAAAACACAGGGTGAAACCGAGATCCTACCCCTCCAATGTGACCATGATGATCGTACTCAAAGTAGCGTAAGGATAGAATTGGATACTATGCTTTATCTGTTTTCCTCTGGTGGTGCCCCATTTTCATTTAGGTTAAGGAGGTGGTGGCAGTCTCCGTGGTTATGCTCTACTGCTAGAGTTGGCTAAGAGTGAGGGTGTGTGGCCAGTCTTAAGATGAGGCACAACTTAATATCCATAGAGGTTAATAGGTCTTTAATACCGTCTCTAATAATACCTTATAGGACTCTTCTAACTGGATGTGATTGTGACAGTAGTTTTATAATTTACTTCAGCGTAATGGCTTTTGACCATGTCACACAGATGGTAATTATAAAATTAAATTAAAGGTGTTTTGAGATACTTTTTGTTTTCCTCTCCCACAGAAGAACATAACTGTCGAAAACGATGCAAGAGTGAACAAAGACAACCTGACTGACCTTTACGTCCAGCACGCCATACCATTGCCTCAGAGGGACTTGCCAAAGAATAGATGGGGGAAGATGATGGAAAAGAAGAGAGAACAGCATGAAGTCAAAGTTGAGGCCAAAAGGTACTTTTCCAGTGTTCTAGGCTCCATCTAATCCCTCATGACAGAAGGGCTCTGTTTCTGTTTTTCTCCCCACCCTTCTTTCATGTTTTAGTTGAGAGGAAACGTAAATCCAGTTAAACGTGTGCTGTGGAATCAGGTAAACTGTGGAGAGGCAAGGGCAACTTTTGGTAAAAAGTGGCCAGCGACTACCTCACTGCAGAGTGACGTTCCAGTAGAAAGACCCGTAAGAAGTGGAGATTTGTCTGTTACTCCACTCTCTGAGAATCTGGATCAGCAGTGTGCCCGCCACGTGTCCGGCCTAGGACTGGAGAGCGATGGAGGTAGAGCGTCTGCTGTGAGTGACTGGCAGGGATTGTGGCATCAGGTGGCTCTTGTGGACCGAGGGAATTTTGGCTTTGGCTTTACTCTGAGAGTGAGAAGGTTTTGGGGCAGTGGCGCTGGTGACCCCACCGGACAGCGTTTTAATAGCATCCCTCTCCCTACTGAACCGAGAAGTAATTTAAGGTGGGGGGAGTTGCAAGGACAGTATCAGGGAACTCAGTTAAGAAAAAGGGGTTGTGTTGTAACCCAGGCAAATGACATTTGATTAATGAATGTTGCTGACTACCTGGTGAGGATGGCTTTCTAAGACCCTTGAGTGTTTGCTCTAACAGGTGATGGCATTGATCACTCAGGCCCTCTCTACATAATGCACTGTCATAAGCAACACCCTAGAGACGGAGGGGGGGTGGCGACGCGACACGGAAGATATGGAGGGCTGGAGGAAGAGGGAAGTCTAACTTGACCAGGAGTTTTGATCCCTCGTGAGTCCCGTAACTGAGGTGACTAGAAAGTGTGTAGTTGGATGTGTGTATGCTCTTGGTCTTTGGGAAAAGAAATACAGAGGTAGCCTTGCCTTTGAGCAGGAGCGATTGCATGTTAGTACAGGCTTACCCATTAGTGTTAACTTTCACACATCTGAATTATGTTACATGTACCTTTCATTTTGTTTACTTGTTTAGGTTTCGCTTTATTATTTGTGAACTGCCACTGTGGGAGTCTTGGTACTTTCTCTTTGTAAGATAATAACTGATTCTAACAGCATAGTTGGGATAGCAGTACCAATAAGCTGCTTTTTTTTTTTTTTTTTTTTGGTGGAGCTAATTAATTTATCTTACCTGCTTTTTTATTTGTTTGAGAAAAAAAAAAAAGCAAGAAGATCAAGCAGTTTGCTTGTGGTTTCAGAAGGATGAGTCTAAGATAGGGAATCATGGCAGCAGGCTACAGACAGTTGAGAGCTCGCATCGTGAACTGCAGGCGGGAAATGGGGAAGGGACTGGGAATGGCAGGAGTCTGAACCGTCATAGCCCTCCTCCACTGCGGTAGACTGCTAGCAAGGCAGCATCTCTCCAGCTGCCCAAACAGCACCACCTTCCGGGGACCAAGTATTCAGACGTTTCATTCGGCATTTTAGGAATAATTATATTTTTATAAAAGATAACGGGATTTCTTATGAATAAATATTCTATACTTTAAAGCACCAGAAAATTGTTTCCTTGGGTCTGGAAGTCTTTTTTCCGGTAGTTCCCCTCACCACAGTCTGGTCAGTAAATCTTGTTTCTTACTGTTCTGACTGAATCCAATACGCTGATTCTGCCAGCCGTGTGGTGCTCCTCAAGAGAACATGTTTGTGATTTCAGGAATAGTGCTGTAGACGGATTAAGGAAAAGACCCCTCATTGTGTTCGATGGGAGCTCAACCAGCACAAGCATCAAAGTGAAAAAGACAGAGAATGGAGCGGACGAGCGGCTCAAGCCTCCGGCCCAGACAGGCGCTGCCCGGGATGCCTTTCGGAAATTACCAAATTCCTCTTCAAGGGTCTCACCCCTAGTTTTGTTTTCCGATTTGCCTATGAACAATAAGATGGAGCAGGATAATAATGACACTAAACAGAACCATGACTTAACACATAGGAAAAGTCCTTCGGGTCCTATGAAGTTACCGCCTCTGTCCCCTGTTGGAACTACTCCTGTGAAATTAAAGCGGGCTGCTCCTAAGGAAGAGGCAGAGGCCATGGTAAGTGTGGGATGGCTTCCATATTAAACATGGCACTGAGCGCCCACCCTGCAGCCCCAGGCTGTGCTTGCTGCCTTTTATTGGGGCTGGGGTGCTAAAATCAGGCCTATGTCCTTCAGAGGGTTATGATCTGAAAACAGTATAGAGTTTAACATTTGGCTCCATGTCAAACCTGCATGGTACTTTGATAGTTAAGCCGACACCTCTTTTCCTTAAAGGGTCACCCCGAGAGAAGCTCCCTCCCCTACCCAGGCTCTGCAGCCTCTGTCTGTCTATCACAGTGGGTATAGCCAGTAGCAGCAGCACAGTAACAGTGTATAGTATTGCTGGTCAGTCCAGGCTGAGGGGCAGAGGGAGAGGTCCCTGTAGATGGTAAGTGCCATCTGCCCTAGCTGCATCTCCACGGTTCATCAGTGCCAAGGAGGACAACAGCACAGGTGATATCATCACCTGAGTGTACAGTCTACACTGGCCCCTCGGTGCCATTGAACTCCGAATAGTCTGGTTTGTTGTTTTGTTGACACAGGGTTTCTCTGTGTGTATTCCTGGCTGCCCTGGAACTCACCTGTAGACCAGACTGGCCTCGAATTCACAGAGATCTGTCTCCCCAGTGGTGGGACTAAGGTGTGCACCACCACTGTGGGGCAGTAGTCTGGTTTTTATATCTCGTTGCTCATCTGTTTGAATCCTGGAATCTAAAAGTCCACAATGATTATTGTTTTTGAAAGTTCACCAAATTTCTTTCTATGTAAAATGATTGCAGAAAAGCGGGTTTCCTAAGATTGTCTATTTCTGTCATGGCATATAAAGCTAAATGCTCCTGTTAATGAGACCCAGAACGCTTGTGTCTGGAGCAGCACATTTATGCAGTGTCTGGGCCTGGGCCTGAAGTCTTTGTACTTACATTAAACCTACCCTAGTCTGCTCTCCCTTAAACATGAAATTGTATAACTGTGGAAGGACAGAAACTTTGAGGGGAGTCTCATACACTGTGCTCTACCATATCTAAGCTTCTGGGTGCTGGGATTTTATACACAAGTTACAGGTGCATGGCTTCCACAATCTGTTCATTGATCACAGGGCATGCATGGGACAGCAGTCTGCCTGCATACTTATTTTAGCCTCCTTGTGAGATGGAGAAAGCCAGATGGAAGTTAGAATAAGCCACATCTGAAATACAATTACTATGAGGAACAAGCCTTAGAGACATGTATGTTTACATAGCTGTGATCTCTGTATGTCCATGCAGATGCATAGAGAAAGGTATTACTTTAGAGATGCAAATGTTTAGTCGCCATTTCTCTCCAAGTTTACACTGTGATACCAGTGAAGGAGGAGGGCTAGGTGGGGAAGAGGCAAGTCAGCTCTGCCCGTCAGGATCACGGTGAGAGCTTCTAGAAAGCCAAGAGAGGCCTATCCCTCTACTTCTGTGATCTCTGGTTCTGCTGTTTGTGGGGTAAGATTTAAGGTGTGTTCGTGTGAGAGAGACACAGAGACAGAGACAGACAGAGGAGATATCTTGGTGCAGAACATTTGAGAACCACAAAGGGGAGCCGGATTAGACTTCCTTTTTTAATCTGAGCACCATCCCCACCAGGTGGCAGCAGAGCTCTTGAACTGGTGCAGCTGTAGCCGACCTTGGCTGGGTGCTTACTACTCTGAGCTACTCTGAGGCATCGCTGCCATTGTAAACTGGTTACTCCTCTCTTCCAGAATCCCCTGAAGCCTCCAGAAACAAAGAGGAAGATACAACATGTTACATGGCCGTGAAGGGAAGCCTCGGAAATGTAAATAGAGCTGCAGCCACAGTTTTCTGACGAGTCCACAGTGTTTACAGAGGTCCTGATCACTGTGGGATTTTCTTGAGGTTTAAAATAGGTTTGGAAAAACAAAAGTCTTCCCTTCCTTTCCCTTCCTTAAAATGTCTTGATGTTCATGTCCCAGTTAGGGAAGAATTTTTTTAAATATAGCTTTGTACACATCCTTTATGAATTGCTTTTCCCAAGCAGAAGCATATAGCAGTTCACAGTATTGTGGTAAATAATTGCCACCTGTGTCGTGAAGGGCTCACCGAGAAAAGTGTGTTGGTGGCGTTGCTGAAAAAGCATCCTGTTCTTGAGTGAGTTGCGTGTGCCAGTTTGTCCCTTGGAAGACAGAAGGGAAGGCAGGGCTCCTGTAAGTTCCCTCTCAGTGTGGGAAGCTGCTCATGCATCTTTAGAATGTCCCTGTCGTACAGGGGTCCTACCCTTTTCCCATGTGGCTTGAGGTCTTCCTGTGAGTTCAGCTTTTCTTGTGAGTTTTATCTTTTTAAAATGAGACTGATTTCAAAGTCTTGAGGCAGGGTGATCATGTGAGAGGCAGTACTTGACAGCAGAGTGTTTGGGATGCGGGATGTGAGAGTTCCAGTCATCTGGAAAGTCCAGAGCATGTGGCAGTGGTGGGGGGGGGGTGCTTATTGGTATGCTGTGGGGTAGACCGTTGCCATTGTTAGGCCACTGGAATTGGGATTCACTGTAGAGTGCAGCAGAGAAGTAGACTGCTAGCTGAACAAGGTTCCTGTGCTATAATACAACTTCCTGCGGGCAGGGCTGTCCCATGCAGGGGTAACTGACAGTCTTCTCATTTTTGTGCAAGCAGCATTATCCACCCGTGTACAATGCAGGAGAGTGAGAACATACTGTTTGCTTTATGTTCATGACTTCTGGTATCTGCTCCCTCCTTTATATTTCTAACTAAGAGCAAAGATACTTCATACCCTTTCCATGTATCCTTGAGATTTGTGGTTTGCCTTGTTGGCCTTCGGGTCATCTCCTTTCTTTGGTTTGTTACAACAAGCGTTTTAGATCAGTTATCGACTAGCCTTACAAAATATAATTCAGCCTTGCAGGTAAGTACTGTTCTTAGACGTCAACCCTGTAGTTTTTTTAGTGTTCTGCTTTTTTTCCAGACTAAATTTGTACACGTAAGACAAAATTGATAAATATTAAATGTTGCATGACTTGTCGATGCTACAGTAAGATTTTAAGTACATTGTTATCTGCAGGGCTGATTAATTAATGTTGTTGTTGGGAACTGTGCTCCTATATGCAATTGTCAAGGGAGACTCTAGAAGTGCAGCTTTTAGAGCAGAATGATGCATTCTATTTTATATTCAGTTGAGCCTTCTGCTTCCCCCCAGCATCTCTCTTTGAAGAGCATTAGCCATTTGACAGTTTTAAGTCAGAGGGAACTTATTTTTAGTTACTCAGTGAAATTAATTTTTAATTTGTATGTTTAACTTACAGAGTAGGTTGGTAATAACAGCTGAACTGTGTAACATTGTTGCTTCAAATTGAAGTTTATACTATGAACATTCAGCATCTACGCTCACATAGCAGCGTGTTATCGAGCTGTTCTGAGTTTTCGAGGTGGAGAAGCATTGAACCATGCACTGTGTATTTATTATGTAGCCCCTCCGTCACAGCTCTGTGCCTCCTGAAGGGATCATGGAACTGGAGAAGCAGCCTTGGGAGTCTTGCTCTGTTCCGAAGCGGTGTTTCCAAGCGGGTTAGAGGGGCTCGGTGTGAGTGCTGAGCAACTCTGGAGTGAGTAACCTCACGCACTAACACAGGGCCGGTCAGCACTGCTGCTTTTGATTCCGTGTCCCACCGAGGCCAGGTGTTGTGATTACTGCATCGGGCAAAGGGTTAGGGTTAGGCCCTGGAGGCCGTGGTAGCTTGTGAGGTATAGGAGGCACCAACCACCCCTGCCATCAGCAAGTCGGCCTTGTTCTTTTCTCCTGCCTGTGTGCATCCTACTCTTTCCCATTCTCCTCTTTTCTCTGGGCCTCAGCTTCAGACTTAGATTTGCAAGTTGTATTGTGTCTGTGACCTTACTCCACTTACTAAGGGGTGAAGGTAGTCTGACCCCCCCAGCCCTCTTACATCTGGGGGATTGTAGACCGCTGTATGGGTCCTGCTGTCTGGAACCCGCAGCGCCAGGGTGTTGTATTGCTTCTCAAAGCAGCATAGCTTTCCAAAGTAGCCTTACTAGTCTAGACAGCTGCCAGACACTTGGGAGAGTGGCTCACTACCACCATGAGGCTGTGTTTGCTGGTATTAAAACTCTTCAGAACTGAAGTTTTTATTTGAAATTCTATTTTGGTTGACTTAAGTTAGAGAGACAGTTCTAAAACCGACGTAGACTCATTCAACAGCAATGACCTTTAAAAACTTACATTAAGTGAAACTGCCAGTAGACTAAATCATCCCCGTGTGTTAGAGCTTCCTCTGTGTACTGCTGTGGAACTTGAACATTGTTGAGAGGCTACTCATTGGTCAACATGTTCTTAAGTGTGCTTTTACTAAATGCTTGTGTAAGTTTTGTAATTCAGTATAGAAAAGGTTGACCTTGTAATGTACGTTTTTGTATGTATAGTGTTTTAAGTAGCCTTGTCTTTATTTAAATAAACTGAATAAAATTATCCTGTGCAGATCTGTTATTTGCAAAACAAATGAAATGGAAAAATATTCCTGTTACTTGATGTCATTGAAGAAACTGATTCAGGAAATGTCATTATGTGTGGCATAATCTCTACATTGCATTCAGACAGCCCAGCCCAGTCATCTGTTGTGAGCAGGAGGGCAGATAATTATGTTGATGTTTGAGACACCTTGGTTAACACGAAGATGCACATCCCTAAGTATTCCTAAGTAACAAATAAATGGAACAAAGCAGAAACTTGGTTGAGAGACTTAGGGTGAATGATCTGAGGTCAATAGCCGATTCCTCCTCTGGGGAGGGTGGGTGCTTTTCTGAGTTGGGTTCCACCAAGGCCCCTTGCTTATGCCTCCTGAGTACTAACTAGGAGCACAGGTCTGAGCTTAAATGACTAATTCCTTAGCTGGGATCTTAATGTTACTGCATTTGAAGACAAGTTCTAAATCAAGTAACTTGGGAAATAGTTGGGTAATTTGCTATTTTAAACCAAAAAAAAAAAAAAAAAAAGGCAAAGACAAAACTCCAAAACTCACCTTGTATTTGGTTGATTTTTAGGAACTGAAATGCCTTTAATCGTTTTCGTTGCTTAATAACTTAGTTGGTTTCCTGATTGTTAAATAAAAAATAAAAGTCTGAGTCCTTGTGTATTTTTAAATGCCCGTATTGTGTGTCTTGGGTTTGAGCCAGGTGATTCGGTTCCTGATTCCATAGGGAAGGTGAGCATGGAATGACAGGAAGTGGAGCAATAATTGATTCAGTAATGTGTGTACAGTTGCATGGACACTGTATGCTTTGGGTTATGCCTTAGTTACTTCTCTGTGGCTGCGATCATAAATCACTATGCCCAGGCCAAATTATTTGTGCTTACAGTTTCAGTGTGTCAGAGTACATGACACCAGAGCGGAAAGGAGGTAGCAGGAGCGAGGGGCCGCTGAGTTCTCACACCCTGAAGTGTGAACAGGAGCCGGGAGGGGAACACTGCAGGTGTCGTGAGTCTTGTGAATCCTCAGAGCTCACACACACACACACACACACACACACACACACCCTCCAGCAAGGCTGCATTGCCTATCTTACTTACTCCTCAGTGACCAAGGCACGTGATGGGGCCCCTCAGGATCCCATCACGCAGGGATGAGGGGCCTATAAGGCCCCACCCGTTCCCGAGGAGCTATTGCAATTAATGATTGCTTGGAAGGGGGGGTAATGTCTTTCAGTGGCGTAGCTGTTGGTAAGTTGCCGACCGCTTGAGTAAATAACCTCGCCCGTGCTCATGCAAGCAATCCTAATAAAGCCAGGTGGATTGTACCATGGAGGCAGGAGAGGATTGTTCGGGGATCAGCAGGAGCAGGAAGGGAACTAGAGAAGGGAATGGTGAGGTTAAAAAAGATAATAAGACTCCTAACATTATATACATGTTTGATATTGTCAAAAATAAAAAAAAAAACAAGGACATCCTGTACTCATTATTTAACAACATGACGTTACATTACTCAACAGAGGTGTTCCTTTTGTACAGCTTGCCGCTTTACCATAGTCTTTTCTTACGAAAGAAGGGAGAGAAAAGTGGCCACTCTGCAGTCCTAAAGAGAAATGAGTGCATTGTTGGTTACACAGATTGGCTCGCCGTGTCCTTGTTTAGCCACTGGGCAAATTCTTCCACAAGCTGCTGCCACAGTCTGAGTTCTCTGTGTGTCTGTGTATTTGTTTTTCCTCTTTAGTGAAATCCTGAAGGTGAGCTGGATACAACAAACCATCAATAATTCCAGCACTTGGGAAGCTAAAACAGGACGATTGCTACAGAGTGTGACTCTGACACCTCCTACGTATGCACACACACACACACACACACACACACACAACCTACGTACACATAAACACAACACAATACACAAATCCTGCAGACCCTAGTGCCTCAATGTGTCTTCTCAAGCTAGGGTGCTAAGCTGAGGATGTTAAAGGAACTAGACGCCGTCTCTCACCCCAAGTTGCTTGTGTCCTCACTTAATGGATAAGAAGACCAGTGGTCCTCAACCTTCCTAATGCCGTACCCCTTAATACAGTTCCTCAAGTTGCGGTGACCACTGACCATAAAGCTACTTCATTGCTACTCCATAACTGTAATTTTGTGCTGTTATGAATGGTAATATAAGCATCTGACATGCAGGGCATGCAACCCTCGTAAAAGGGTTCAATCCCCCCGAATGGGTTGGGACCGCACACGTTGAGAACCGATGTTTTTCACAGATCTGCTGATGAGAACGAGCTCAGCTCTGCTACTGAAAGTGACTGGAAACCTGGGTTTCCTGTCATTAGCCTCCTAGCCTTACTGCCATTCATGTTATGGGGCACAGAGTTATGTATCAAATGTAGAATAATTCTACATTTGTATTCCAGGAGGAGGAAGAGTTTGTGAGGGAGAAAACCCAGTGACAGGAAGTGTGGTGCTACCAGAAAATTTCTTGAAACAAAGTGTGGTGCAATTTTGCTGTATACTGCCCCGGGCCCAACCTGCACTCCGACCCAATCAGGACCTACTGTGGGCAGTGGTCACTGGCCCTCCCAGTAAAGTATTATTTAAAGGGAGACCCCGACGTTTAATCACTGTTTCACACACCATGCTTGGCCAAAGGTCCCTCCCAGTAAAGTATTATTTAAAGGGAGACCCCGACATTTAATCACTGTTTCACACACCATGCTTGGCCAAAGGTTTTATTCTGAATAACTTTATTCTAAGTCACATAAATGTTACTCTGAGTTTTACACACACACAAAAAAAGGGAGTTACAAAGCTGCAAATCCCAGCTCTCCCTTGAAAACACATTCATAACAAATGTTAATTGCACTTAAAAATTAAATAGGCAGTGAAAGGAGGAAGCATTACAGAGACACAGGAGGAGGACGCTTTCGTCCGATCTGCCTTGCGTTTCTACAAAATTCCAAGTCACCTTCCCATCCGGGGTTTACAGTCCCCACTGGGACCGCAGTGGTGCCCGGAACTATAGGAATTCCAATTAGCGTGAAGCCTGGACAGCAAGAGGAAGCCTGGAGGCGGCTGGTGGGAACCAGAACACAGCACTACTGCCTGGTGGAGAAAGGGAGCATGCGAACTCTCCCAGCCACAAAGCTGTGGCTTCCACCCTGCCTTCAGATGTCCTTTCCACAGTCGGGGCAGAGGATGTCGTCTCGTTCTGTGAGGAAGCCTCGCCCCACCAGGGACAGGGAGCACCTCTTGCAGTTAAAGCAGTCTTTGTGCCACTGACGCTCCTCGAAGGAGATGTACTTTGTGCCGCCGAGACCTGCGCACAAAAGGGAAAACCAGAGTGAGGTGTCGCCAGGTGGCCAACCTCAGCAGAGCCGAAAAAGGCACGACAGTCTGATCCACTTCAACTCTGTGCAACACTGACCGCTGTCAGAGGAGCAACGGAGAGCAGGGAACTCTCGTGCTATCACCAACCCTGCACAGCCTGGAGCTCAGGGTAGGGGGAAGAGCACTTGCACACAGAGCGTGGGGTCCTGCCTTCCAACCCCCGGCATTGTGGGAATCAAAGCATCTGCTGTTTCCCGGGTTATTATGTTTTCTCCTGAAATGAAACCTGCTCGCCAGGAGAAAAGGGAGCAGGTTCCTGCCCTTACTTCCCTTCATGCTCAACTACAAGCAGTAAGATCAAATAAACCCTTTCCTCTACAAGTTGCTTTTGATCCACAAGTTGCAATAAAAAGCAAACTAGACCAGATGGAATGAACAAATGGGGCTGGGAAATCCACTTCAAGAAAGATTCCTACCTTTGACAGGACGCACCTGGCCACTGATTGGCACGTGGCGAGTGTTTAGCCTGAAGCCATCTATCTAGTCTCCACCTTCACAGGAGCACGATAGCTCAGTCCTGATAACTGGCCGGCCAGCCAAGCACATGTGGGCTCTTACTTTGTCAAACACTTTGGGCACTGCGCTTGTGAATAAACTACTCAGAACGTGCACCGTGCTTCCGTGTAGCAGCGGGTCTGTGGTTAAATGAGAGTCTCACTAAGACGGCACGGACTAAGACGGCTGAATCACACACACACTTTGATCACGTGCTTATAACAGACTCATAGACCCACGCGGAAACACTCAATGACAGGCCAGTGGTTCTCCACGACCAGATGAGGGGAAGTCATGAGTAGGCCGCTGGAGCACAAGTAGTCTGCCAAGGATGGGCAGGCAGTCAAAGGTGGGCTGGGCATAGCGCCTCAAAATGCTAACACCCATGCTAACACTCTATGCCTCCCCGGCACTCCAGAAGGCAGACAGTTGATTCCATGACAGTGGCCTTCCTGGATGCTTACCACTGATGGGGTTGGTGCACCCAGCACACTTCTTGGCGTACAAGTCGCAGAAGCAGGTCAGGCAGTAGGGAAACTCATCCCGCGCTGTGAAGCGTTGCCCAGACAGCTGCTTCTTGCAGGCGGTACACACAAAGCACTCCTTGTGCCAGGGCTGCTCCCGGTAAGTGACGCCCCCTGTGGTGATGGGCTGGCAGAGGGGAGAGGGGAAGAAACGAGTCAGGGCTGCACCTGCTTCTGGTAGGCATCCCTCACCGCTGTTGCCAGTGGATGATTCGAGACACCCCGCAGCCCCCTGCAAATGTCCAGTTTGTTGAAGTGGTAAAGGGACCTCAAGCCTCAGGCACCTCGTGTTGGCTTTTGCCCTGGGGACAATGGGGCTTTAGGTATCACTCGTGCAGGGGAACAGAAGGCATGGGGCATTGCCCTGTAGCTGCACAGTCATGGCAAAAGACCTCAGCACCTCAGTTCTGTGACATCAAACTGATGAGGAAGGGGACAAATCTCTGTGGAAGCCTTCCTTCAAGTACCGGCTCTGGAGCCAGGCGTTGGTGGCACACGCCTTTAATCCCAGCACTCAGGAGGCAGAGGCAGGCGGATCTCTGTGAGTTCAGTCTCGTCTACAGAGCGAGTGCCAGGGCACAGCAATACAGAGAAACCCTGTCTCAAAAGACCAAAACCAAAACAAAACAAATACCAGCTCTGTTCTCATGCCCGGTGTGGACAGACAACAAAGGCAGGACAGGAGAGGCTTTAAAGACACTCGGAACTGGCACCTTCTGGTGCGACCTGAAGGGACCAGCATACATCCTGTGAGCCTTTATCCTCACCCTGTCTTACAGACAAAGGTTTGCAAAGAAGTTGCAAATGGCTAAACAGCTCGCCATCCCTCAACTGCGACTAGTTCCCTTTACATGTCGCTTTCCACGGGCGTGGGAACAGCAGGTCAAGAGTGGGGTCGGAGACCTGGGGACTCTAAGGTAGGTCTCAGCTTGACAGGCGGTGGCCGAAGAAGGGATAGAAATGCTCCAGGCCACACCTTGGTGGTTTCCTCGCTTTCTGAACAGTGTGGGCAGCACTGTGTGCTCTCTGGGGTCCTCGCGTGATGCCTGTGCAGGAAGACGCTATTTCTAAAGCTGTAGAAGAATCAACTGGCTGAGAGACCCAGGCGCTGCCCGAGAATGAAGTCAGAGCCGGCCATGACAAGGCAAGAGGAGTCAGGGTTCCCTTCTGTCCTGCTGTCTTGTCATTAAACCGTACGTCGGAGACCGTCTGCCAGTCACACCCCCCCCCATTTCAGGGACAGAATTTAAGGAAAATAAGTTCCATGTTGTATGTTCTGTGTCCTCTACGCTCTGTGGAGATGCAGGAGGCATGTACGTGTGAGGTGGTATTTATCCCGCCTGGAGGCCCTCCCTCTGTGCCCTGGATCTCATACACACTGTCTCCTACACCTTCCACTCTCTCGCCTCTACCTACCCCCACCCCTCCCATTCACCCCCTCTCCCCACTCCACCTCCCTTGGTACCTTCCACACACTCATCCCCACTCCCTCCACCCCTTCTCACACCACAGCAGTGGGTTCAGCAACACGTCAGCTTCAGCGTAGCTTCCTTGGAGAGTCCTTCCCTGAACTCCTCCACAGCCCAGCTTAGCTGGTTTCCCCTCGTAGCCTACTCTGTGGACAATCTGCGCTGTCCCACGGGACACGTGTCAAGACACCCAGTGGCTGCCCCAGCCATCCCCACCTACGTTAAAATCCAGCCTTTGAACGAGTCCTGTCTGGTCTCAGATCCCCAATGCTCCAGGGTTTCCTCCATTGCCCGAGGAGGGATGTGTCTAGCTTGAGAGCCCTGGGTGTATATAGGGAGCTCATATGCAAAGGCATGCACCCCACAAGGCTGTACCACCTGCACTTTACCAGCTAAGTGGGCAGATGGCAAGAGCCAGTAACTGAAGGGAGGCACAGGAAATGCCATCACGGTGTGGCAGCGCAGAGTCTGTAGCGGTACCTACAGGCTTGTAGGCCTGACCTCGGGGCTGACCGTAAGGTCAACGGCCTCCAAACAGAGCTCATCTTTTTTTTTTTTTTTTTTTTTTTTTTTTTTTTTTGTCGTGCATCGGTACAAATGAAGACAACTTCAGGCATTGCATACAGATTCTATGGACATAAAACAGGCATGGGCGAACAAGGATGAGCTACCCGCCTTGCTTACCCACGCATGAGCTTCCCCAGCCACATCAAGATGACCCTCACCGAAAAGCTGAAAAGCAACAGACCATTTCCAAGCTACAAGAGGTGGCTGCACAGCACAAAGTTATCCCAGAAGAAAAGAACTTAAAGTGCAGGATTAGTAAGCAAAGAATAACCATAAATGTGGTGGGGGCTGAGAGAGCAGGGATATTAGGGGAGTAGAGGGAAGTGAGGGAGGAGGTAGGCATAGCTTAACAGGCTTGCATAAGTCCTGGAAGTGCCACCACCCACAGAGCCGCGTGTGGGAGAGAGCGGAAGCTCCTTTCTGTGGTTCCCGTTGATTCAGCTCAACAGAGACAGGTTAAGACAGGGAGCTTCATTTCCCTCTACCATCAGGCCATAAACATTCATAAAGGTTTTGGAAAGCATGATTATTTTTCCCCCTCAGAGCTCATTTCTTTGAAACAGAGACCAGATCACAGATCCAATTGAACAATGCACAGATTTGAGAGAGAGAGAGAAAGAGAGAGAGCATGCAAGGCAGAAATATCCACACCCTCATAACGTGGAGATGTGACTGCTGTCCCTTCTTGACGGTCAAGGGGCCCTGGAGGTGTGGGGGTGGGGGACTGAGTACCTTTTTGCACTGCACACAGTGCAAGGCGTACTGTTTCTCATAGCAGGGCACACAGAAGTTCTGGTTCTCCTTCGGTATGAAGCTCTTGGTTCCAATGGGCTGCTGGCAGCGCTGGCAGATGAAGCAGGTCTCATGCCAGCTGCTGCCCTTGTATTCCATCTTCCGGGTACCTGTGGTGAGAGGCAAGGACAATCGGCAGCTGCCGTTACACTGGTGTGGAGCCCCCATGATGTGCCTCCAGAGCTTGTTACCAGCGAGTCTCACCTCGAGCTGGAGATAATTCCTATTCTGCCTTAGGATTCAGTGCTTCACATGTGAGAATACGGTGGTTGGAGATGTTAAACGAAAATAAAAATCTAAGTGCATTTCTGCATCACAAAACATAGATGAAATGCAACATGGTTTTAGCTCATCCTCATGGGGTAGGGTTGGTGAAGGCTATCACACAGGGATGGTAACAGTCCCCCTCTACACTCATGGTTCAACCTTCCATGGTTTTGGTTATCTGCAGTCAAACTTAGTCAAACTGAAAACACATAATGAAAAATTCCAGAAACAAACAATAAAAATAATTTAAAAACAAACAAAAGTATATATGCACACTCTTCTGGGTAATATGGGGAGGCATCACATTCCTCCATTCAGTCTTGCTAAACATGGGCATTTTCCTGTTGTCCAGTGCGCCCACCTCAGTTACAAGATCGACTATCATGGTACTACACAGCCCTTGGGTCGATATAACTTTATTTCCCCTAAAATTATTATGTCCAGTCTACACATTGAATTTTATCATAAAGCAGAGGAAATGTTGGCCAAGTACTATTGATGGCAGTCTCAGAATATACTTGCTAAGGATGGAGGGAATATGGTACATTCTCCTGTTGACCTTCCACTAATCAGCATCTGTCTGGTTTACACTGCCTCTTGTGGCTTTGATGGGAGAATACCCCCCCCCCCAGCTATGAGGATCATATAAAAGATGCAGAACATAGTTTGGGTGATGGTATACTCGTGAGACTGCACCTGGGCCCACTGGAATGAAGGGAGATAGCTGGAGGGCCCCACCGCTCCAGACCCAGCAGAAGAAACTGGATAATGCAAGCGGCTGTGAATCCGTCCTTAACTTTCTCAGTCAAGACAGCAAAACGTGGACCCTGCCTCAGCTGGCTGGGAGGCTGGCCAGGAGACATCTGTGCTGCAGGCGGCTAGGGATGCGTTGAGAATCATTACACGACATTCTTAGGCCACTTTCTCAGCTCCCGATTCTTCAAAGGGCAGACATTCGGGTTCTGCCTTACCTAGGCTATGTAAAAATGTGTGGGGCACATGTGTGCGACTTTTAAAGTGAAGGCACACACAGCCTGTCCCGGGGCTATGGGTCCTGGACATCACCAAGAAAACTAGAATCCAGGTGTGAATGAGTTCAAAATGTGTGCCCTTGGGGCCCCAGGACTGGGACCTCTACCGCCACGTGCACCTGGGTGCCCTGCTCTTGTCTGAGCTGATGCCGTTAATCAGGTCGTGAGTCTGTCTCAAAGACGGTGAAATTTTCGAAAAGCCAGGTCAAAAGCTCCCTGAACTGAGACTTCCAAACAATTTTCATTCAATGGCAGACAAGTTTCTGGGACTTGTTGGGAGAAGAGACGATGTCCCCCACGAGAGTCTGTGACTTCAGAACTGTCATTTCTACTCAGGAGAGCTGAGAATCCAGAGCTAGGTGTATCCTGGACCGACAGGGCGGTGGCTCACTTGCCGTTCAGCAAGGATATCCACAGCATCAGAGACTGCAGAGATGCTACAGCAGGAGCACAGAGGGTCTGCACTGTGGAGCACGTCCTGCAGCAACAAGGGGGCGTAAGCATCATCAACTGCACTGCTTCTGAATTCATAGTAACTGATTGGCACGGTTCACTTAACCATGCTCTGGTAGAGGAGACTCGCAGCCATGGCCTTCCTGTGAGGCGAGCAGACCAAGGCTCACATAGCCCTTGGCCACGCCTGCGTAGGAAGCATGATGGACCACACGGGGATAGATCCCAGGACTGCTCATCCATCCTCTGTCCGCTCGCTATCTTCACCGAGATGTCCCAGAACCCAAGGGAAGGAAATGGTCCACCCTTTCTATGTGTCTTCTTTTTCACTCGTCCTGCACCATGTCTTGTAGTTCACCAAGAAGCTGGCCCAGATGCTCTCGGATGGCGCCAGTCCCTCCTCAGTGCCTTGACCTCCCCAGGACCTGCTTGCCTGTCCCTAGGCACGAAAGATCCTGGCACTGGCCTTCCATGCATGAAGGTCGGGGTAAACTGGAGGGACTGGGAATCAGCAGGAGTCATACAGAATGGGTGGAGCTGTGTGGCTGGGCTGCCCCTGTGTGGCTGGGCTGCCCCTGTGTGCTTGGGCTACAGGCACGAGGAGGGTCTAGAGGGACCCTATCCCCCTGGAATCTTGTGGGTGCCGGGAGGTGGGGATTGGATTTGTTCATTTGTCTGTTTTTGTCAACTTGATACGAGGCAGAATCACTTGGAAAGGGAAGCCTCGATTGCTAAAACGCCCCCTTCAGATGGGCCTATAAGTTAATGATTGATGTGGGAGGGGCCTGCCATGCTTCCGCAGCCACTGCCACACCACTCTTGGGTCCCACGTTTCTAATTAACGTGGCCTCGAATTCAACCATCATTGATTGCCACGCAGCCAGCTCTGTGCTCCACGCTCCTCCCCAGCTGTGCTTTCCGGCTGGGTGCCCCTGTTCCTGTCACAGTGTGTCACCACCATTCCAAAGTCATATCAATACCAGAAAAGTGCTGTCACAATAAGAGTCTCCCTTACCAAAGGTCTAATTATCTCCTTTGGAGAAGCATTACTTCTCGCTCCATATACCCCCCCAAATACTCCCCATATGTCAGTCTGTCGCCCAGGACTCTGCAGCCCCTCTCCTTTGCCAGAAAGCAAAGCAAGCCAAAAATAAAAGAAAAAGTGTAGCTGATTTAGTCGCTCTCCCACAGAAGGGCCGGGGCTTGACGGCTGCGGGCGTAGCTCAGCGGCGGAGCGTACACTGGCGAGCGGGAGGCCGTGAACATTCGCCGTAGCGCACGTCACCATTTGACTCGAAATTGTCTCTTATATTTTGGGTTGTGAGCCTAGCCTTTAACGGCCGAGCCATCTCTCCAGCCCTGTAAATTGTCTCTTAAACATGGTGTTCTTCACACACGGATGGGACCTGGCTACCAAATGACACAGGATGATTTGGTTGGTTGTTTTAGATTTTAAGGTTGAAACTACAAACTCAGAACTCTCGACTTGAATCCCCCATTCCTCCCCCCCCCGTGTGTGTGTGTGTGTGTGTGTGTGTGTGTGTGCGTGTGCGTGTGCAAACGCACAAGGAACCACACATATGTGTAGTAGTCAGAGGTCAACCTCAGATGTTGTCCCCCAGGAGCTGTCCACCTTGTTCTCCTCATGGGGCCTTTGGGCTCCCTGATTAGCCAAAGCTGGCTGGCATCTTTCAGATTCTGTATGGTGTTTTACCATGTGACGACACGTTCCCGGCACAGCTGTGTAGGCAAACACTTAGAAAGAGCCAAGGAGAACGGGCAGCCCCTCCAGCTCCAAGTCCTTCCTTCAGGAATTAACCGCTTCGGGAACTCATGGTGTTTTTCTCCTTGGTAAAAGATGTTTATCGTATCTGGGGTGGTGCGATCTTTCTAACAAAATGCAAGTCCTCATGCAGGGCTCACCGCGGCCCTGCCACATGGGGGAGCAGTACATGTCTGAGGAAGTGGGTTACAGTGGTGGCTGAGAACTGGAGCCTGCCTGCGTGAGTACACGCTTGATCCCAATGACCAACCAATCAGTGCTCTCCTTCAGCCAGACACAGGTGGGCACACTCTAGTTCCAACTGGAAGCCTGAGATTGGGGGGGGGGTCAATTGAGCTTTCTCTCAAGCCCCTCTGCCACCACATGTGGTCCTCACAGTATTTTCCAGTTTGGTTTTACGTTTTTTGCTCTCCGCTGAATCTGATCCTTTTGTTGCTGTTTTATCACATAACCGGCTGGCCTAGAATTCAGAGCTCTGCCCGTCTCCATCTATGGAGAGCTGAGATTAAAGCTGTGCTCCATCACACCTGGCAGCGAGGGTGTTAGAAATTTTACTATTATTATTGTTGTTGCTGTTGTTATTTAAATTTGCAACAAGCTTGTTTTACATGTCAATCCCAGTTCCCTCACCCTCCCCTCCTACCCTGTCCCTCTCCCTACCCCCATCCCATCCCTCTGAACGTTACTCTTAAAAAAAAAAAAATAAATAAATACTTTAAAATGGCTTTAGATCAGTCTCAGTTACCAATGGGGCAAACTGAATTTCTTTTAAACTTCTATATTTTAAGTGCTAGAATATAGAATACATTGGGGGAAATTTCAACTTAAAATCACAAGTGTGGATCGCTTTCTCAATATGTACTTTAAAACTCAAATCCCAAGGTTAATTCACATTTTTAAAACCTCATACTCTTTAGCAGTAATTTACTATTACCCTGGTCTCAGGGGTGTGCAGCCAGCTGACATGGCAATATGATACTGTGATCTGCAAACATGCTGGCTGGCATTCATGGCTATCCTGGAACCTATAAAGTCTGTGGGCCACAAAGTGGATACACCTGGTGATTAAGTTTCCCAATGTGTCTGCTTCCCCTGGTTCTAAACCTCCCTACAATTAAAGGATTCTGAAGATGTCTTGACATTTTATTTAGTTATCTTATGTAGAATCTGGCAGTATGGCCCCAGGCTGGCCTGGGATGCCTTGTCCTCAGCTTCCCAACTGGCCAGGTTCAGGACTGCACTACCTCGTAAATGATGAGTTCCAAGTCCATACCCAGTTTTGCCACTAGAGGACGCGTGATGGCCTTGCTTGGACCACCGCACAGGATGTCTGTCTTCCCACATGAATGGGTCAGATCCCACATGCTCAAAGTTACGTTCCTTGAGTCCCATCTGCTCACAGATGTCTCTATCCACAGTCAGCTTGCCGTCCCCCTGAATTCAAGTGATCTGCTTATGGGACCTCACACCTACCTCATCTCCAGGGAGGGCACACACTTCCTAAAGACACTCCCATGGACTGAAGCTCTCTGCTGGCTCTGTGTAGCTACCCAGTGGCCATGTATGACACGTGCCGAGAGCTACCTGGCTCTTAGAAGTAAGTGAAGACCTCTATTTTTATTGGTTGAACTAGGCAACTTGAATCTGGACAGCCTTTAATAGGTCACACAAAGGCTATTGCTTATGGTGGCTCCTGAATCCAGCTCCTGTGCCTCCTACCACTTTTTCAAAGTCAAGGGGCATCAGAATCCTCGGCCAGCTTCTCCGAGCTGCTCTAATGCCCATTTTCACATCATGTGTATGATAAGATTTGCTTCTTAGATCCCATATTTGCATATGTGCATTTGTGTGTATTTTTACAGTGATGGTAATCAAGCCCACATGCTAGGCAAGCACTCTACCACTGAGCTACACCAGCCTCCACATATATATTTTCTGAGACAGTGATTCTCTGTGTAGCTGTGGAGCCTGTCCTGGAACTCACTCTGTAGGCCAGGGTGGCCTCAAACTCACAGAGATCAGCCTGCCTCTGCCTCCCGAGTGCTGAGATTAAAGGTATGCGCCACTGCCGCCATCACCACCCCGCTATATATTTTCATTTACCTTGGCAGGTCTGTAATGCAGATACTGTCTGTCTCTCCCTTCAGCATGCTGGGAATAAAGGTGTGTACCTCTAGACCCGGTCTGTTCACTTGCTTTTAATAATCATTACCACCCCCACATCTTGGCTCACTAAACACATTTTGTAGTTCAGGGGATAGCACCGAAGTATCGCCATGTCCAAGTGAGAGTCCCACCCCACAGCCCATCACTAGACTGGGCTCATCTGCTGCTCTGCGTGCACGTGAGGGAGGCACGCGGCATTCTGACCTGGCATGATGGCCTTCTTGCATTCCTGGCACTTGGACGAGTACTCGTTGGAATAGCAGTCGGTGCATAGCAGCTGTTCCTCCTTGGCGGCGAAGGGCTTGTCCACCAGCGAGCTCCCACACCTGGAGCAGTGGAAACAGCCTTCGTGCCAGTGCCGGTCCTTGTAGGACAAATCCTGGAGGGCCAGACGCACAGATAGTCAGAGGCAGGACAGGAAAGGTGGAGCAGCTGTCTAACTCATCGTAGCACAGGGGCACAGCGAAACCCATGGGACAAACACGGACCCAGGCAGGCTGGTGTGTGTGCGCATGTACGAAAAAAGGCAGAGGGAGGATGGTTTTGTTTTTGTTTTAAAAAAATGTACTTCCTGTAAAAAATATATTCTCTGAAGGTAAATGTCAACTTTTGATTATGTTCCTAAATCCAGTGGTGGACCAGAAAGGAAAACACCACTAAACAGTGTTCCGCTACCACTGTTGACGGGTCCTGCATGGGTGGGCACGAGAGTCAGAACTGGTCCTTCTGCTGTTCTAGCCGGAGATGGTGATGGCTTTCCTGACTCAGCATCAGAGTATGTGGGATGTGCAGGCAATGGGAGAGCCTGGTGTCACACGCTTTACATAGTGAGTGCTATTATGGGCTGGGTACTCCTGCCATCCCGGGAGCAGGAGACTCAACAGTTAGGGAACCCAAGAGCCAGACCCTTGTTCCCCCACATACCAGCGGCACGGCTGAGGGCAAGCACTGAACCTCTCAACATCACACCTCTCACAGGAAAACCAGGACAGTGCCTGCTATTGGCTGTGACAGCAGAATAATGCCTTAAGACATGCAATGAACTTGCAGCTGTTTCTGCTTGCATAGGAACTGCTCAGTGCATGCTAGCTAGCTCATAGTTAATCATGGAAGTGGTGGCCTGAGTGTCACCCACTGGTAAAATTTTCACACAAAGATGGCAATGAAAGCCACAATTTCTTTTTTCTTGTGTCTTCTTGTTTTGTTTCTGCTTTTTTTTGTTTTTGTTTTGAGCTTACTATGGAGACCAAGATGCAAACTCAGTATTCTCTCTTCTTAGCCTCCCAAGTGCAAGGATCCCAGGCATGCTACATCACAGCCCATTTAAAAAAAAAATTATCACCTTAAAAAGCTCCCACAATAAGAATTCCAGCACTCTAATTTTGTATAGTGCTTTTAAACTTTCCTTGGGCCTTATAACCTAAAAATATGTTTCTAAATTCATCTTGCCTATTTTAAGCCACACAATAACCCTATGAGACAAAGCTTGATGCTTATGCATGAGCAGATTTGACACAAGAATGCAAAAAGTTATGTCTCCCCCAGCACCCCCCAACCCACACCCCATATTTCTACCTTCACTGAGTCAATGAACCAAATTCGGATCCCAATTCTGTTTGTTTGTTTTGTAGGTGTCAAATCTGCGTCAACCCTTTCCAAATAGATCCCAGCATGCTTGATCCTAGCACACTTGCCCAGCCCCAACCTCCATCCATTTCTCTCCTCTCTGGCAAAATGCTGCTCAGCTGCAAGCTCAACCCACATCTCACCTGCCCTGTGGAAGTTCTGGCCAATGCAGAACCTCATGCATTTCTTTCTGACTCACACAGACTTACTAGACCACTGGGCTCTTCCTGGGGCTCTCAGGCTATGCTTTGAGAACACTCGATTATGCTGTTACATCTTCCTCCTGGTCCTACTGGGCCTGATGCTCCACTGCTCTGGTTGAGCACTGGGCCAGACTGCGGGTCCAACAACCCCTCCACCTCCGGGGAACTTCCTGGATCTGCTCTGAGCACACTGGACCCACCTATCCACTCGCTACCCTGAGTCCCTGCCTGCCTGAGATCTTTGACCCCATCACCGGGCATCTGGGACCAGTTCAGGCCAAATCCTCCCCCCACACACACACACCCTTCCCTGGGAACTCCCTGGGTTAGTTCTGAATCTCGCTCCCCTCTACATCTTCCTCCTGATCTCACTGCTTTCTGTTCTTATCAGGAAGTGGGCAATTCACTTGTTTTCAGAGCACAGAGTGGCTTCCAGGCCCATTTTGGTTTCAGTGTCTTGAGTCTTAGTGGGAGACAAGGTCTTAGTCCCAGGGTTCCCTGGGGCTCAGAGACAGTTCAAAAACTGAGATGATAGGTCAGAGCTGGCCAATGCTTGATACTACATGCCACATATTCGTCACGAAGACCCAGTAATTTTCCATTCGTCAGATTCACGACTCTAAACAGAACTTTAGTTTTCATGATTAGCACCATGCCAGTGTTGGCTAGTTCCTTTGTTTTCTATATTGTTCTGTACAAGTGACTCTGATATCTACAGATTCTGAATCCTTCGGTTTAATTAACCACGGTAGAAAAGATCCAAAACTAAAACATTATCTGTATTGAGTATGAACACTTTGGGAGGGCTAATGTTCCTTAAATAATGCATTAAAATTCTCTATATAGTATCTATACTGCAGTGGGTATCACAGGTTTACAGGATGCTGGAGACTATATGTAGATACAAGGAAATATTGTACTATTCTGTACAAGAGACTCAATCTTCATGTTTTATTACTAAGAGACCCTGTACAAGCATTGACAAGGACAACACTTAGCTACTAAGTGGTAAGGCAGCTTGAGTTTACTTAGCATGCATGAAGCCCTATGCCCATCTCAGCACTGGAGAGAGAGACAGAAACAGAGACAGAGAGACAGGGATACCAAGGGAGGGAAAGGGGGGGGGGTAAGAAGGGAGGAGGAAGGAAGAAGGAGATTAAATTTTCCAAAGAGACTGGAAAAAGAAGGGAAAATACCTTTTCTATTTCCCAGAAAAACAAAGAGAAATCCGCTAAGGCTAACCTTGAGCTCACAGGAAGGTTGTGATCTGTAAACATTGACATCATGGAAGAACAGTATACATGCCTCTTTTCAGACTACAGTGTTCACTCTGGGGACAGTCCCAATCTAGGACATGCTTATTGCCTGCATCCAAATGTGCCCTTGTTGGAACTTCAACTGAGCCCTAGGATAGATAGTCAGTGATCTTAAGGGACCCCTGGGCCTTTGCACAGCCGGAGGTGGCTCTAAACAACAGGGTCCCTCCTGCATGATCTTCCACCTAACCTAGGAGAGCCTTGGCTGCCACTTTTCCATACTAACTGCTTCTCAAGCTGTCTGATTTCAGAGTGTAAGTGGACTTGCTCATCAGTTACGTCCAGCGTGCTGAAAAATGTTCCGCTGTGAGACTATTAGTGATCCTGTTCTACTATGTTCTTCAAGATCCTCCTTACAAGTGAAGTCGGAAGGAACTGAAGGCAGAAGAATGCCTTTGATCTCACAGAAATCCACCTGCCTTTGCCTCTGGAGTATTGGGATTAAGGGCATGAACCACCCCACCCAACACAAAATCTCACATTTTTAAGAGAAAAAAAAAAAAAAACCTTGAAAATCATTCCAAAAAATAAGCATCAAGGTTTCAAGAGGCCATGAAAGGAAGAACGAAAAAATAGAGTATCCGTCTTAACAGAGAAAGGTCCAGAAGGGCTGCAGGCAAGGTCTCCATTGATGGAGGAAGACTGAACTCTTCCTAACAGCCTGCTACTCTACTGGTGCTCAAGAACCAGAGTTTACCTTAGGGTTCACCCATGGAGTCCCCCAAACAAGGACCTCCTAGATTTTCTCTTTAAAAACTTTCCAACATTAAGTGAGAGACTGTACGATGATGGGAATAATTTGTACCATTTCTATTATTGCTTCAATGTTTGTTTCCCTCTTCGTTGACTAGTAGAGTCAATGAGTAGCCCATGAACGTGCTCGGAGCCCCTGAATCAATCCTGCGGGTCACAGCTGCCATCATTACTCACTTTATTTGAGTAGAGATAGCATCTTAATATAGGCCTCGATATCCACAGGTGAAGAAGTTTGATATAATTGTATGGTCCATGTTAACCCATAAATACCCCAACCCCGCCCTGGGGAGTAGATCAGAGACTTCATCTTAAGTTCCCAGAGGCTTGTGAAATAAACTCTACTGGGGAGTCCACTGTTTCAGTGACTGGCATAGTGTGATGGACAGGGAGGGACAGGGGACACAATGAGTCAGCCTCAGTAACACCAGGAAGAAGGGCAGGAACTGTAGAACAAACCCAGAACCATTTCTGCAGCATACTCATTGCTATTAGACAGGAGAAAGACAAAGGGGACATTAGGCAGAGGTCAGGCAAACGTCTCTTAGTCACATGGATGACCATTGGGAATCCATATCTGACTGAAGGCCATTGCCAAAGCTGTGTGCAGGTGGGCAGGGAGCGAAGCTTGTTGGTTAGGAACCTCCCATGTCTACCTTCACTACTTCCCAATTCCAACCTCGGTGAGACCTTCTACTCTGGCTTCTACATAAGATGGGCTGAATAAGTCCTTATCAGTGGGAGGACCCTAGAGGGGTTTGGATAATGCAACGGAGTCATTTCCAAGTGCCAGAACCAAGTAACTACCCAGCAGGTGCTAAATCCTAAGATTAGTCTTGGCAGCTAGCATTCCTCTACAGGCATCTTTTCATTACAATTACTGGTCTTGCCACAGCACCCCCTCAAGGTACAATGGGGTATGACAGCCTGGCCAGCATCATGACTTTGCTTGCAAAGAGTGGAATATTCAGTCTGTTCCGTCTGAGGCCCTTTGTTAAAGTCATTAATTTTTCAGGTGCATAGTGCTCTGTGAGAAGTCTGTTTTTCTTTACTTTGAGGTTCAGAACTCAGGCTGATTTTAAAATATATATATATAATCAGTACCAAAAAACCCTAAAGGATATGATACTGCAAAACGATAAAATAACATTTGTATTGTGACTTCTGAACTATTCCACTGGTTGTCAAAATCAAGGATCTTCTTGCCTTGGGTATTACAGCATTTCCAAAGAATGGCCAAGTAGAGACAAGGAAGAGAGCTAGCCTACGTGGCTGCCCGGGGCAGTCAAATAAAGAGACATATACTATCTACGAGGACAGGTTCCAAAACTCATCGTCTCATTTAAAATTCATTCAGTACCTCAAAATCAGCCCAACTCCCGCAGGCACGAATGTATCTTAAACTTTTACACATCAACGTGTCTTCCAGAGAGTTCTTTGAAGTCCCTGGTGGCTGGACTGCTTAAAGAACACTGAAGACTAATAAGCGGCCATTAGCTCATTAAGCATCCCACCATTCCACCTCCTGCTGCAATTATTTTTTTAACATTACTTCCTGAAGTAACAGAAACTTTTTTTTGTGGGGGTTACTGCTTCCTCCACAAAGTCAACTACACAACTACGTGCGACAATCAGGAAAACCACAGCAAACAGTGTAAACCCTGCAACGCAAAAGTCTCACTCCAACCCAACGGTCTTTGTTCCCAAATGAGGAAAATCACAAGGCAGGACCCACACCCACTGATCTCAAGTTGCTGGTGTGGGTTGAAAAGTTCAGCATGCTAGCTTTTGACCCCTTCGGCGGTCTTGTTGACTTTGGCCCCCTTGTAGGAACTCTTGTTTATTTGTGCATAAAATGTCTTTGGAAGGAAGGCTGGCTTTTGGGGTCTTTCCATTAAATCATTCTGGAGAAACGATAAGTGATTTTTTTTTTTTTTTGTCTTGTTTTTCCTTCAGCCACCGGTCAGGGATGACTAGCCCCAGATATGCACAACATTTCCTTTAAACCGGGTCATCATCAGAACACTACGTGGACCTCTAACCAGCTTAACCCTTTCTTACCCAGACATAGTTTTTAATAAAACACTTCTTTTTTGTCTCTGCCTAGGAGTTTGTCTCCCATGTTGATGTTTTCACCGCTCTGTCCATCGTGAAAATGGACAGGGAGGACGAGGCTTCTAAGAGGCATGTGTTCCAGAAAGGGTTACAGAGATACTGGAAAAGGGAAGGCTTTACACCATTGCAGCTGCCTTTCAGGGTGAGAACTTTATCACGATGACCCCATTTGGCAGACACCTGATTTTCCATTTTCCATGTGCGGACAAGGGCACAGAGGGGGTCAAGGAACTGGTTGACATTCAACAGAGAGGCGTGAGACTATCAGGTAGCGGGGCTCTAATGCTTGGCCTGTTAAATCAGGGGAGAGAGTGCTACTGTTTGGATCTCAGGTTTCCTCCGAGGACCTGTGTATTAACGGGTTAATTCCCAGCCAGGAGCAATTGGGATGGTTAGAGGGCCTTAGATGATTGAGGGTGTGCTCTTAAAAGGGGTTCCTGAGGCCCTGGCTCCTGCCTCCTTCCCACTTTGTCTCTCAGGTTACATAGTAAGTAGTTTTGTTTTCCCACGTTCATCTACCATGATGGGTTGGTTGGTTGCCCTGGCTCAACAAAAGTGCTGTGCCCATCCAATCGTGGAGGGAACAACGCCAGGAGCCTAAACGCGGGGACACTTACCACCTGGAACATGACGTACGCCATGGCTTTTATAGTCGTGGAAGAGAGTGGTAAAAGATTCCAATGGAATAGAGGACATTGGTGGCAGAGGTTAGGCAGCACAATGCCACAAGTTTCCTCTGAGCCCATAAGCTGGGATTTCCCTAGGGGCTCCAAAGTGGTCCCGCATTGTAATCAGTTCTGTGGCTGTGGGGTGGCACCACTTGAAGTGCTTTTCAAGTGTGTTTTAGGAGGGCTTTTGCAGTTAAAGATACCAAGAATCTTGGGCTGGAGACATGGTTCAGCCATTAAACGCTAGGCTCATAACAACAAATATAAGATCTCAAGAATCTTGCATGGATCCCACTGCAGTTGGGGGTCTGAGGCGTCCCCTACAAAGGTCCATGTTTAAGCCTTGGTGTCCAGCTTGGTGCTGCTAAGAAGTGGTGGGATCTTCAGGAAATGGAGCCTTGGGTGAGGGAATCACTGGAGATGCGGCCTTGAGGGGAATATTGGGGCCTTAACCCTTTCCTATTTCTTACCAGGGGATAGGCTTTCTCTGTGGCAATACCAACCACTCAAGAATTGAAGGTCTTAATTTGTAAGCCAAATTAAACTTTTCCTTGGAAGTTGTTTGTCTTGGGTATATTGTCCCGTTGATGGAAAACTACAAGAGACCCAGGTTAGGCTACGTGTGACCTTTCATCACTGGTCACTTACCAAGAATGAAGAGATACTGTTGCCCATGCCTGCACCATCTGTGGGAAGCTGCCTATCCCTTTGTTGCATAAATGAAACACAAACCCCCATTCTTCTACCCAAAGGGAAAAGAGCCCATCGTATCCCAAGGACCTTGCTGCCTTTCCGGGTCTGTTTATCTAGGCTGCTGACTAGATACTGCATGTATACATTCACTCATCAAATATTTACTAAGCAGCACCTGTTCCCTGTTAGTCACCAAGAGGCAAACAGCAGGGGCAGGAGAAGGCTTTACCATTGCCCGGAAGGGTGGGGTTAGATAAGGGCCCTAGTAACCAGGACAAGGAGAGTGGACTTAGAACACCAGCCATGCAGCCTGGCAATGCACTCATCTGATGGGCAGAGACTGGATCACGGAGAGAGCAGCTCTGCAAGGCCTCATAAGAATTCAAGGCCATCAAATGGGGGCTTTCTTGGACAGAACCTACTGGGAGAGATGAGGACCAGAATGCCAAGTAGCTTGTTCTTGGGAAGGCCAGGGGTGGGGTTAACAGGGGAATGCTGTTAAGAGCCAACAGGCAGCTAGCTACCTTGCAGTCGCAGCCAATGGCTGTGCCACACTCTTCACATGTGTTGGCATAGAGCTCTTCGAAGCAGGCCACGCAGTGTGGGTTCTCCTCCTTCAAGATGTACTTCTTGCCATACAGAGACTCATTGCAGTGGTGGCAGTCGAAGCGTTCAGTCATGTTGACACCCGACTCCACAGCAACCTGTGACAGATCAAAGAGGAGAAAACCCACGCTTCAGACTCAGGAACACACCATGCTCTAGGCCAAGGAAGGCAAGGAGCAAGACAAACTTTGGATGCTCGTGCTTTTCAGTGAAACACGTTTTTTGCTGGGGGGTGAGGGGGAGTTTTGTGCTTGGATACACTCCCTTCACTAAAGCAGTCATTGCCGACTGGATCAGAATGTCGGATTCCAGAAAAGGCGCCATGGCCCCCACTCTACCGTAGCTATGTGTAGCTTCCAGGGCATGACCCTGCCTCACCTCTCTGCCCTCAGAATAGAAAGGCAGGCACAGAAACAATATATCTACCTCTATAAAAAGAGATTTTTCCATGCACTCTGCTTTATGATTCATAAGTTTGAATAGTAAGAAAGCATCACGGCACAAGGCAAGGGTATTTGACAGGAAGATCTGTAGTCAGGGGCCAGGAGAATATTGACCTTGATCTGAACATGCATTGGGAAGGACAATGTAGACCAGAAAGTGCCAACTTCCTTTAGGCAGTCATTTCTCCTGGATACAGAGGTCTCCATCCTTCAGCTGTCCGGGGTACCCAGAGAGCAGGATAAAAGAGGAAGGCTTGATTCCAAGAACAGGGATTAGCACACAGTTGGGAATGCAGTGACTACAGTCAGTGGCTTTCCAGGAGACACCTCAAGCCTTACAAAGGGGGGAACAAGAATGTGCATCCTTGCCAGACATGTTGCATTTTTCCAGAATGACTATGCAGTGTCAAGAGAAAGAGATGTTCTGTAGGGCGGAGGAAAGGAAATGACTGATTTTCACCTCCCCACCTTAAGCCACCATCCCTAAAAATCATGTTAGGACTACTTTGGATACAAAAAGCCCACTCTGTGAACAATAGCATGGACAAAGGCCTCTTGCACATTAAAATTTTAGGCTTGATTTTTTTTCTCCCCCCACCCACAGGAGATTTTTCTTGATTGGCAATAACTAATGTGTTAAAAGTGAAAAGTTTTATCAATAGTCCACAGGCACACAGCTAGCTGTGTTACTAAGCAGTATTTCACAAACTCCAAGCAAACTCAGCTCCATTTCCAGTCACTTCAAGTCATTCAAGGGTGAACCCCCCCACAAGAATTTGGCTCTACGATGCAAATATAGCACTGTTGTCTGGTTTTATGATTACAGGAAATTTGATAGTAGCTATTAATTTGATACCTTGTGTACACAAGGTTGCAGTGACTATAAGCTTTTGTTACTGGTTTATGTCTGTGTTTGTAGGATAATTTGCTTCCAAGAGCACAAAACACACAGCTGGATGCATGTGGCAAGATCCTTCCTTCTAAATCATTCTTCCTGGAGTTGAAGAAAACTGTCTGAACATTCCTGTGATAGCATCCTAAGATGAGGCTCTTGAACACACGAGTTATTATCCTGAAACATGACATACGAATGCCTTTTTGCTTAGGCTATCTGGGTCGGCAGCTGCTATGCTGGCAGATACTTCCATGGTTTCCAGTAAGTCTTCGGTTATCTGCCTTGAAAGTGGCTGCTCACTTATTTCATGGGGGGGGGGGGTTCAGCCTTCCAACATATATGTTTTTCCATTAAATGTCGCCATTTAGCAGTGGGATGAGATCATTGCCTGCACTGTTCACACAAACAGAAGGAAGAGGGAGAGTGAACTAGCTATGAATCAGGGAATTTCGAAAGCTGGAAAACACTCCCCAAGTCGTCTAAAACAACGACCTCATTTTGTGGATGGAAAAACCGTAATTCGGAAATGGTGATGGAGAAAGGAGTTTTGTGGGCCCTCCCAGAGCCACCTGACTGAGAAAGCAAACTCCTGGCCTTAATCGGAAAGGTGGTTCCGAGTTTAGACAAGCACCAGCCCTTCTGGGGAAGGGAGGCTATCCCGAAAGCTGTGCAGTTATCTAGATAGACGCCATGTCTGTGTCTGATACCAGGGAGGGATACCTGCTTCTTACTCTGGTCATGATGCATGAGTTTTCCACCTCATCTGGTTCTATAGGTGAGTGTGAAGAGAGAGAGAAAACCTAAGGGTGTAACCTCTGAGAATCAACAGGGTTCCTACATGTGTCCAAAGGATAAGGCCATTTATTCCATGCTTAACATTACCATCATTGACCCCGATTCCCCAGCAGGGATGATGAATCAGCTGCATTGTGCTCTGGGGGTCTAACAGGGATGATGCATTTGGCCCTGGTTTCCACGGAACCCTGCCTCATGATGGTATAATTCTTGTTCCTTATATTTTTCCCTCCTGTTTTCTGCCTCAACCAACCAGTATAAGGCACAAAGTGAGCAAAGTATGAATGCTTAGTTCATACTTAGTTCCGTAGTTAGGAACACGGTGAGACAAACATTAGTGAGGTCCTCTCTTAAAAAATAGTGTTTTGTTTTTGTTTGTGAGACAGGCTCTGGCTGTCCTGGAACTTGATTTGTAGACCAGGCTGACCTCTAACTCACAGAGATCCACCTGCCTCTGCCTTCCAAGTGCTAGTTTTAAAGGTGTGTGCCACCACCACTACCCCGCCCCCAGGGGGAATTAATTTTTATGAACATACAAGATAATAGATTTTTTTCTTTTAGTCTTTAAAAAACTTTACTTACATACATGGCATATTTATTTCAGTGATTTAGTCATTATTCTTTTGAATTATACTAATACTAAACAAAAGAAAATTACTATATTGTTAACATGTCAGGCCCTATTTTGTGTGGTGTAGATGTTATCCAGAGGCTTATCAGTCCTTGAGACAGACAAGCACAAGCTGCTTTGTGTTCATCTCTGATAATTACCAACAACTTGGCTCTTCCCTACTTGGAAAAGGAAGAAAACCCTAGAATTTGAGATCCTCGTTATTTTAGAATGTGTGTGTGTGTGTGTGTGTGTGTGTGTGTGTGTGTGTGTGTCCACCTCACTATCAGGCTGTGTAAACCAGAATCTAGAAAACGGAAGCCAATTAATCAGGAGTTTAATAGTCACCATTTTTGTTGTTGTAGTTGCTGGGACAAAAAGCAACTTTCAGGGGAAAGAGTTTATTTTGACCTGTGGTTCAAGGGGACACAGCCCATCACGGAGGAGGAAGCGTGTGGGCTGGTGGAGTGGAGGCTGGATGCTCATACTGCATTTGCAGCCAGGAAGCAGGGTGGGGGGAGAGAAGGGGCTTATACAATTTCAATCTCTACTTTGGGTGATTCACTTCTTCAAGCGAGGCCCCTGAAGGTTTTATGACCTCCCCAAACAGCACCACCACGGGTTGGGGACTGTAGGGCCCTGCATGGACCCCCGAGGCACCGTGAGCAAGCCTGAGCTATTGGCTGGAACATTCTTCATTCTCAGCTGTTACTGGTACTCTTCCTGATTTGCTAACACACATCTGCTGGGGAGGAGCTAAGCCCGAGAACTTTCACGCTTGACCCTTGATTGTTTTCCACTGTGCCCTGAGTCGGTATATGAGCCCGCTTCTTCCCCTCAATAAACGTCATTCTGCATTCCTGTTGACCCGCTGTCTTATCTCTTATTTAAATCTCTAGGCCTTCGCCCGATTAGTGGGACAGATTGTAGCATGAGCGCCACAGGGGACCAAAGGGTCAAACACGTGAACCTATGGGAATCATTTAGTAAGGAGAATGTGTCACATAACTTCCTGAATTTCAGGGCTGACGGTTAAGGATCGAATTCGGGGTCTCCCCTCCCCAGGTATCACCATCATTCATACGCTTATGTATCTTTCTTTTTCAGTTTTTCAGAGTATAGATTCCCCGTATGCCGGGCTGGGCTAACTGTCAGTTTAGACAGGTATACTGTACTGATGCGCGAGTATCTCTGAATATGGAGTCCTGTGGGTAAATGCCGGAGAGTGGCATAACTAGGTCACATGGCAGATTAATTTTCAGCTTCTGAGAACCTTCCATACTGGTTTCCATCCGGGCCAGCAATGCATAAGGGGTCCCTTTTTGTCTACATCCTCACCAACATTTGCTGTTAATTGCTTTCTTAGTGACTGCCATTGTGACTGGAGAAAGATGGAATTCCAAAGTAGCTTGGATTTGTATTTTTTTTTTTTTCCTGTGCCGAGGCTGAACACCATTATCCTCTTTGCTAACGAGGCTCCTTATGTCATGCTTCACGAGGAAGTTAACATTAATGTTACATTAGAAATTTCCCGTAACTTTTCACTTTTAAATCCTACAAAATACCCGGCTGTTCTTTCGTTCACTCCAAAATGATTGGTTAAACTGGAATTCTGTACTGGATGTCAAAGGATTGGGGGCTACCATGGTGGGAGAGGAAGTTGAGAGGAAGTGTCAGCACCAAGGAAAGCCCTTGTGGCGACTTCCAAAGCTCCAGGCTGGGAGGTCAGGGTTGATCCACAGTCTTGAGCAAGAGCATCCTCCAGGAGTAGCGGAGTAGCGAGTGGCTTGCTGGAGGGGAGGCCACACTGTGGAGGAAGAATCAGTGCTAGACATACACACATCAGGAAGATGGAAGGTAAGCAGATGGGGTGGGGGTGGGGGGGTTCAGCCAAAAAGACAGCGCGGAGGAGGAGTTGTATGCCTGGTTCGCTGACTTGGTATTCCCTGCAGGCAGTGGAATTTTATATACCATTTCCCCACATCTGCACATCACTGAGTGCACTTTATCGTGTAAAACTGGGGGAGAGAGAATAGGAACAACGCCTCCTAAGAATGAGACCGTGCTGTTAAGAGTCTAGTTTTTGTTTGTTGACCCCTCACCCCCATTGTTCTCCCCTCCACCTAGTGGTGAGTCTCAAACCTAGAGTTTTCACATGTTGGATAAGGACTCTACCACTGATCCACATCCCCGCCCTTCCCGTCCAGTTCTGAATAGTCTTTCCAAGCATACAAGTAGGTGAGTGTGGTGGTTTCAGTAAGAATGCCCCCCCCCAATAGGCTCACATATTTGAGGGCTTAGCCACCAAGGAGTGGAACTCTCTGTAAAGATTAGAAGGATTAGGAGGTTTGGCCT